AGCCTGGTGATGGGTATTAAAGAGGGCACATACTGAATGGAGCACTGGGTGTTATATGCAAACAATGAATCATGGAACACTACATCAGAAACTAATGATGTAATGTATGGTGATTAACATAACATAATAAAATAAAATTAAAAAAAAGAAACTAAAAAAAAGGAAGAAAAGAAAGAGCTTGTAAAAGAGATTTGTTCAGGCCTATTCAGATTGTCTGTTTCTTCTTGTGTGAATTTTGGCTAATTCTGTCTTTCAAGGAATTGGTCCATTTCATCTAAGTTATTAAATTTATAGTCATAGAGTTGTTCATAGTATTTCTTTATTCTTTTAATGTCCATGGGATCTTTAGTGATGTCTCTTCTTTCATTACTGATATTAGTAATTGTGAACTATCTGTTTTTCTAAGTTACCCTGGCTAGGGGCTTACAGATTTTACTGATCTTTTCAAAGAACCAGCTTTTGGTTTTGTCTCTATTGATTTTCTGTGCTCAATGTCATTGATTTGTGTTCTAAGTTCATCTAATGTTTATTCTTTTGGAAAACATTTCCTGAGTTTTGGCATATGCTTGATAATCTTTCCAGCTCATGGAAATGAGTAATGAAACAGACGAAATCTCACACCAAAATGGCATGTAAAATATTCCTGTGACAAAAATGAGCATGACAGAATGTAGACCTTATAGATAATATAAAGACTAGTAGTTTTTAGTCTGAGTGTTGATTTTTTTTATAGATTCTAATTTATTGATCAAGATGAAGAGGAAAAAGTAAATTTGTGGAGGTCCTTTATGAAGTCATTCAGTAGTTCAGATGAAATTTGAATTAGGTCACTTGATTAAGATTTGTGGTGGTAGAATTGGAGAAGTGAATTGACTTAAGAGAGGAATTTATTGGTACAATTAAGTTACATGTATGTGAATATGAAGACATACATGTATGAGAGATTAAGTTACATGTATGTGAAGACCAAGTATGTTGTGTCAAGTATAATACAGATGTTATGTTTTAGCTTGTGGAATAGATGTATAGTTTTTAGAAACAGGAATTGTTCACTCATACTAAATAGTATTTAAAATAATACAAGTGCTCCAAGTAAGCTGCCATTTTTGGTATCAGCTTCCCCCCACCTCCCACACACTTTTTTTTTTTTTAAATCAAATATTACCTGTTATTTGCCAGCTCAAAAATGAGTTGGAATGTCTTATTTTAGGAATTATTATGAAAGATTGTGCAAAGTAAAGCCTTGGTATCTCTGTATCCATTAGGAAATATTTGTAGAGCAAAGTATATCAAATATATACTTTATTTGTGAGGACACTAAAGCATTAATAAATTCTATATCCTTCTAAAAATTTAGCACTGTTATCATTTGAATAATAAGTCTTTTACTTTCTTACATTTTGCTATTTTAGAATATTGGGCAACATCTTAATTTTAAGATGCTTAACAGTAATACATTTAGTAATATAACTTGAATCTTTCTATGTTTGCTCTGCTAAGTAAACATGCTGTTCAATACCTATTGCTCATATTTTTGAAAACCAAGAATATACTTTTTAACCTACTCATAAAGTAGTTTACAAGTAGGTAACGCCATCTGTCTAATAATTAATATGTATATTAGTGACTCATATTAGTCTCTTTCTGCCAGAATACCTTAGCTTGCTGTATATCAAATGTATGTGTCCTATACTTCTATATAGCAGTCTTTGGTCTTTAAAATAATATATCAAACTGAAAGTTACCATAAAGACTTTACTTAGGGAATCAATTTCTAGTATGTATTTAAAGCTCAACTCATTTGGTGGTCAACTTTTTCTATCTGCTAACATGATTAAAATAAAAATTAAGAACATTAAATTATACATCAAAAATTTTCTGTAAGTTTTTTTTTTTTAGTATTTCCACAACAGTATATAGAAAAAGCAAGATTTATATTACAAAGAGAATATTATGCTCACTTTGGCAGTACAAATACTAAAATTGGAATGATAACAGAGATTAGCATGGCCCTTGTGCAAGGATCACATGCAAATTTGTGAAGCATTCATATTTAAAAAAATTTTTAAAAAGAGAAATGTTTTCTGCACCTCTAAATGTTTTGAAACCATTATGCCGTGAGAAAATTCAATTTAGATAAAAATTGATTTTTTTTTTTTAAAGATTTTATTTATTTATTTGACAGAGACACAGCGAGAGAGGGAACACAAGCAGGGGGAGTGGGAGAGGGAGAAGCAGGCTTCCCGCTGAGCAGGGAGCCCGATGTGGGGCTCGATCTCAGGACCCTGGGATCATGACCTGAGCTGAAGGCAGACGCTTAACGACTGAGCCACCCAGGCGCCCCAGAAATTGATTTGTATGATTAACTCCTAAGGGATATTTTTTTATTAGTTCAATGTGTTCATTGAATAATAATTTAAAAAAAAAACTCAGTTTTAGAGATCAATGTAACATTTATCTCTGCTTTTTTTCTTTCTTTCTTTCTTTGTTTTCCAATGCAATTGATTTGGGTAGTGAATTTTGTTATATTTGAGGTCTGATATACTGGGCTGAGCTTTGTCTAAGAACATCATTTGTGTCATGGATTTTGAGTGGTACGTTTTGACTGCTAAGAAGTGCTTGAGCTATTTTTACTCACTTGGCCAGCCCTACTTGCGAGAAGTATAATGCATTTTTTTCAGGTGACTGACAAGATTTAAGAGTGCAGTTAGAAACATTTATTGTAGACATTGGCCTAAAGGGTGGCCTCTCAGACATTCTTTGACCTACTTTTTAACAAGAAATCACACAAAAATCTGTTGCTCATTGGGATAATGGAGCTTAGAGTCTAGGGGTACCTAATTACACTACAATGTTAATTATGAATATTATCAAATGCATTTTACATAATCATTACTTCTTAGGATCAGAAGCATCAGAGAATACAAAATACTGTGTTTTAAAGTTTTTCTAGTGATCGTTTTCTACCCTTTGTCCTAATGGCATAAAGTATCAGGTTTGACTTACTCAATATGTTAATTCATTGTAAATTTCCTCTGTGGATTATATTTCTTTCGTGGTCAGAACAAAACTGTGCTTCTCAGACAACTGGGTTTCTTTTTAATTCTTTAATTTCACCTCATGTGTCAAAATTATAATGAAGATACATGGTATTTTATCTCCTGTGCCATTCCCCTGGGTCATATCACGTTATGATTGTCTGTGTGATTAGGTTACTGATGTTACCGGGCACATCCTGCTTGATCTGCTAATTTCTTGAGACACATTCTCTCAAAGAGAAAGAGCAGAGCAGATCAGATCTTCTGCATCTTAACATCTTTAAGGAATTCTTTTCGTATTTTCCCATAAAATTGTTTTAAGAGAGGATTTATCCACTTTTGAATCTTTTAAGTATAAATTAACAGTTACAAAAACTTATAGAACAGATATATAGTGCTTTTTATCATGCTTATGAGACGATTGAATAACACATACAGGAAATACTATGTGTCATATTGTCAAACAACAAAAAATATTAAATAGGTAAAAACCAAGATTCGTGTTATGAACACCATCATGAGTACACATAAAAGGAATATATATTGTCTAATGTTGCTAAGTAATGTATATCTCAATCCAGGTAAATTATAATATAAGATAGGCAATCATTAATTGAATCATAGGGCATAAATGAATGAATGATTTATAGATTCCAACTTAATAACAAATAGATATTATTTCCTACAGATTGTTTGGTCTTTGAAGAATTGCAATAAACTGTCTTTAATCCTACACCCTGGAATGGAGATTTGCTTACAGCAAGTTTATTGGGGGGGGTCCTCTCAGTATCAAAACCTGTACTATAGATTGAATGTTTGTGACCCCCAAATTCATACACTGAAATCCTAACCCTGAAAGTGACATTATTAAGAGGTGGGATTTTTGGAGGTGATTATTTTATGGGGTGGAGCCCTCATGATTGGGATTAGTACCCTTATAAAAGAGATCCGAGAGAGTTCCCTCACCCCTCCTGCCAAGTGGGGTTACAGAAGGAAGAGGGCCTCATCGGACACCACATCTGCTGGTGCCTTGATCTTGGACTTCCCAGCCTTTGGAACTGTGAGAAATAAGCCTTTTGTTCATAAGCCACAGTCTATGGTATTTTGTTATAACAACTCGAATGGAATAAAACGTCCTGTGGGGGAGGGGATGAAGGAAGCAGGGTCTGGTACACATACTGCTACAAGGAGAGCTGCACCTGGGTGGCCCCGGGAGTTGGGAGTTGAAACAGGCGGGCGGGGGCTTAGCATCCATGTATAGATCAGGAACTGGGGAAGATTTTCAAGCCAGGCGGAGGCAGCTCTCTTGGGTTGGTGAGAGTTGCAGGGGAGGCATTCAGTTGTGAACTGGCAGCAGGTGAATAGAAACTGAGGAAATAAGGGCCCTAACCCGAAGTTAGGGAAAATATAGGCGGCACACCCGAGCATCTGCTACTGACCAATAACCCAGTATATCCTGGTGATGTTCAGAACTTTAATATAGTTTCCTAATTATCATGAAGAGGTAATGACCATTTATCAAACCAACTAATGTTTAAAGGTGGTGCTTATTTAATAATGGTTTAAACAATACGGTAATGCAGTGAAATGAAACCATTTAAATTTCCCAAGAGAGGGCAGCTGCGTGGCTCAGTCAGTTAAGCATCTGTCTTTGGCTCAGGTCATGATCCCAGGGTCTTGGGATCGAGTCCCACACTGGGCTCTCTGCTCAGTGGGGAGTCTGCTTCTCCCTCTGCCCCTTCTCCCTGGCATGTGTGCGCTCTCTCTCAAAAATAAATCTTTAAAAAAATAAATTTCCCAATACAGATAAATATAAAAGTGAACTATACATTGTTAAAATAGAAGACTCAAGTTATAAATGCAGCAGGAACTTCTTTAAAAAGACAGTAAGATTAAAAAGAAAATGTAAAATGTGCCAAAATATTAACAGCAATATGTGTTTTAGGTGTTTGTCAGAGCAAAGTTTTTTTTTAATACACTTTCAATTTTTATCAATGAGCATACTTTATTTTGATAAATAGGTGATTTTAAAAATTAATAATGACTGGAGGCATAGCTTAGTATGTGTAAGTTCAAAAGGGAGATATAGAAATCATGACATTATTCAATACTAGGCTTCAGTGTACTTAAAGACAGACACACTGCATACTCTTTGGATGATTTTGCAAGCTTTGGATTTCTTGGTTTTGGTTTACTTTGTTTCTGGGCATTCCCTTGTTATTTTTAGCTTGGTTATTTGCCCTGTAGGTTGCGTATTATTTATGCTGAATCAAGACCATACTGTCCTGAAAAGCAGTGTACTATTCTCTATATAATTTTTGATGATAACAGTAATTTTTCAACTTCATGTTGCATTTCACTGCATGGTTAAGGAGTTTATCCAGATCTCTTTGAGTGGTTTTTCTATTTTGCTCTTTCATATCCCAGGTCTTACAGTATTATGTAATACCACCGTACTCCTGCTCTTCAGTTTTTCTTGCCCATGGATGGTGATCTCTAATAACTTTTCTAGGAAAAAGTGAGGCATTTAAAGCTTTGGGATATGTGAGGCATTTTTGGAAGAAGGGTGTTAGGAGAGAGAGTGAGAAAGAAAAGAACATACATTGAAAAGAGATAAAGAGAAGGAAGCAAAATCGTGACGGAAAATAGAAAAATGATTTCCAGTTAGTAAGTCTGTCTTCATTCCAGTAGCAAGAGAAATAGCATGTAAACCCCTTATTGCCTCTGCTGCAGGGCTAACACCATTTCCTAGACGTGTAGGCGAAGGCTGTGCTGCTTTAATTTTAGTGCAAGGATATCTGTGCTCTAAACCTAGGTCTTAATAAGGTAAATGGTCTGTTTTAGATATCTCCTATCTAAACACAGTGCTTTTGTATTAGCTGCATTTTCACGTGATAAATTCTCTAGGCTCTCACCCAAATATATGGATGTGTGTATATGAAATAATTGTTCCTATAATTGTGCTCTGCCTGGCCTCAAAGTAGATATTGAAATGTTTATCATCCCTGGCTTGTTTCTTGTTATTAGAACATAGTAGTTCCGAAAACTCACCAGTGAATTATATATTTTTAAGCTGCTCCTTATTAGCTGCTTATCCACCAAAATCAGACAGTGACATATTTTATGAAAAAAATTTAGTATTTCTAAATATCTATTATATAGTATTTATCTTTACTGTCTTAACTGGATAATATGGGTAACTAGTTCCTCTGTAATAGATAAATGGAATTTATATATTGTATGCTAAAAGAAAAAAATATATAAAATCTAGGAAAAGACAGATTCATAAGGAAAAAGTTAATATACCCTTAAAATGTCAAATCTTTATTACTTTACAGAAGTCAATATATAAAAAAAATCCCTTTGATATAAGTAGTATTGTTAATAGTATATAAATAGCTTACATTTTATTCTGCAGGTGAATATGCCTTGTCACAGAGAGGCAAAGGAAGGATATTGGTAATGTCCTCTGTATATAAAGTTAGATTTTAGTTAAGATTTTAAAAGTGACCTAGTAAACCTCAAAGGCAATGAATCTATGCATCATACCGAGCATAGAACAATAGTTGGTGTCTATAATTATCTTGAGAGAAGTGATTTAAATAGCATTAAAACAGGCTGAAGCATGTTTTTTGATTGTGCCTTTTTTCCCCTTTAATTCCAGTATAATTAACATACAGTGTTATATGAGTTACAGGTGCACAATATAGTGATTCAAGAATTTTATACATCACTCAGTGCCCATCATGATAAGTGTGTTCTTAATCTCCTTCACCTATTTCACCCGTCCTCCATCTACCTCCTGCTTTTATATATACAAGGCATCTAGATATATGGGTATGTGGGGATCATACTATGTAGGAAGAAGCTCTGCATTTGGATGTGGTGGTGGTATCACTAGTCATTATCTAAGAAAGTGGCATAGAAAAATAGATAAAATAATTACATTTAATATTTGTTTTATAGATGGATATAAATAAATAATACCTTGATCATTTTGGTCACTCTTGCCATGCTGGC